ATATGCCTACAAGGAAGGCCAGTGAATACCACTATTCCTCAAATTTACATACTAACCACCAAAGCCAAAGATGAGGAAATTGCAGATTTTTACCAATTTTTGCAGTCTGAAATTGAACAAACATGCAAGCAAGATGTGTTAATTACCACTGGTGACTGGAAAGCAAAAGTTGGAAATAAGGAAGAATCATTAGTAGTTGGAAAACATGGTGCTGGTGATAGAAGTAATGGTGGAGATGGCATGATAGAATTTTGCAAGATCAGTGTCTTATTCATTGAAAATATCTTTTCTCAACAACATAAACGGCAGCTATACATGTAGGCTTCACCAGACGGAGTATACAGGAATCAGATTGACTACACCTGTGGCAAGGGGCAACGGAAAACTCAGTATCTTCAGCCAAAACAAGGCCAGGAGCTGACTGTGGAGCAGACCATCAACTGTTCATATGCAAGTTCAACTTGAAGCTGAAGACAATTAAAACAAGTCCATAAGAGCCAAAATATGACCTGAAATACATCTCTCCTGAATTTAGAGACCATCTAAAGAATAGATTTGATGCACTGAACACCAATGACTGAAAACAGAAGAATTGTGGGATGACATCAAAAGCATCATTCATGAAGAAAACAAGAGGTCATTAAAAACATGAGAAAGGAAGATCAAAATGAATGGCAGAAGAGACTCTGAAACTTGTCCTTGAGCGGACAGTAGCTAAAGCAAATGGAAGAAATGACAAGATAGAAAAGCTGAACCAAAGATTTCAAAGAGCAACTAGAGAAGATGTTAATTATTATAATGATATGTGCAAAGACCTGGAGTTACAAAATCAAAAGGGAAGAACATGCTCGGCGTTTCTCAAGCTGAAAGAACTGAGGAAAAAATTAAAGCCTTGAGTTATAATATTGAAAGATTCTATGGGCAATATATTGAATGGCACAGGAAACATCAAAAGACTATGGAAGGAATACACAGAGTCACTGTACCAAAAAGGATCAGTCAATCTTCATCCATTTCAGGAGGTGGCATATAATCAAGAACCAATGATACTGAAGGTAGAAGTTGAAGCTGCACTGAAGGAATTGGTAAAGAACAAGCCTCCAGGAATTGATGGAATACCCACTGAGATGTTTCAACAAAAGGATGCCCCACAGGATGCTCTCACTCAGTTTTGCCAATAAATTTGGAAGACAGCTACCTGGCCAACTGACTGGAAGAGATCCGTATTTGTACCCATTCCAAAGAAAGGTGATCCCGCATAATGTGGAAATTATTGAACAATATTATTAATATTGCATGCAAGTAAAATCTTACTGAAGATAATTCAAAAACTGTGGCAGCAATACATTGCCAGAGAACTTTCAGAAATGCAAGCTGGATTCATAAAAGGATGTGGAATGAGGAATAGCATAGCAGATGTCAGATGGATCTTGGCTGAAAGGAAAGAATACCAAAAAGATGTTTATTTGTGTTTTACTGACTATGCAAAATCATTTGATTGTGCAGATCATAAGAAATTATGGATAACATTGAGAAGAATGGAAATTCCAGAACATTTAATTGTGCTCATGAGGAACCTGTACATAGACCAGGAGGCTGTCATTTGAACAGAACAAGGGGATATTACATGGTTTACAATCAGGAAGGGAGTGTATCAGGGTTGTATTCTTTCACCATACTTATTCAATCTGTATGCTGAGGAAATAATCTGAAAAGCTGGACTAAAAAAGAATGTGGCATCAGGATTGGAGGAAGATTCATTAACAACTTGCAATATGCAGACAACACAATTTTGCTGGAAGGGAAGTTGACTTGAAGCACTTACTGATGAAGATTAAAGACTACAGTATGCAGTATGGATTACACCACAAGACAAAGAAAGCAAAAATCCTCACAACTGGACCAATAAACAGCATCACAATAAATGGAGAAAAGATTGAAGTTGTCAAAGACTTCATATTACTTGGTTCCACAATCAACACCAATGGAAGTAGCACTCAAGAAATCAGAAGACGTATTGCATTGGGCAAATCTGGTGCAAAAGACTTCTTTCAAGTGCTGAAGAACAAAGATGTCTCCTTGAAGACTAAGGTGCACCTAACCCAAAGTATGGTATTTTCAATCGCCTCATATACATGTGAGAGCTGGACAACGAATAAGGAAGACCAAAGAAGAGTTGATGTTTTCGAGTTGTGGTGTTGGTGAAGGATACTCAAAGTACCATGGACTGCTAAAAGAACTAAAAATATCTGTCCTGGAAGAAGTACAGCTGGAATGCTTGTTGGTAGCAAGAATGGCCAGACTTCATCTCACCTACTTTGGTCATATTGTCAGAAGGGACCATTCTCTGGAGAAGGATGTCATGTTTGGTAAAGTGGAGGGTCAACCAAATAGGGGTAAGCCCTCAAAGAGATGTACTGGTACAGTGGATGCAATGATGGGCTCAAGTATAGCAGAGATAGTGAGGCTAGCACAGGACTGGGCAAAGTTTCGTTCTGTTGCACATAAGCTTGCTATGAGTTGGAGACAACTCAACGGCACCTAACAACAACAACAACATGAATAGAATCATAGAGTATATAAACTTTTGTGTCTGATTTCTTTCACTCAACATCATAAAATGCAATTGATCAATGTAGTTGCATTTTTATTGCAGTTGGTGGCCTATGTATAATTCTCTTATGAATACCGAACAATTTCTCTATCATGTCGCACGCAGATAGACAATGGATTACCTCCAGGTTTTGATGAATACAAATAACGTTCCCGAGTACATGCTTCTGCCTGTCTTTTGGTGACCAGTGCATACTTTTCTATCTCCCTCATTGTCTCATGGTGCATACCAATAGCAGGAGTACTTTAAACTCATACTAAACCTGTATTGACTGAAAGGGTTTTTTCTCATCCAAATAACTCTCACCATTCCTCCTACAATTTTAAACCTGAAGATAAAACTGAATAGTAATTGAATTCATTTCTAAAAGTTGCTGTTCCTTTATGTAACTACACCTACACATTCTCATTCCTAGTCTTCTAATCTCTGAGATTTTTAATGTTTTTAAAAATGTTTTAGAAGGCTACTTTGATAACTCATGTAGCCAAAAGAAAAATATTTGCAGAGAATGTCTACCATCTTAAGAAAGGGCTTCAGCTTTTCTACAGGATACTCTCTTTCTTAGCCCATAATAAAAATTTCAATAAAAAAGAATGACTCTCCTCCAAGATATTATAATGTTTCTCAATGTTTATTTCAATGGTTAAAAATAAATTAGAAGGTTCTTTGAGATTAATCTTATGAAAATCTAAAGTCTGAAAAGTTGGCATATTTTTTATAAAAATACAGTTAAGCAAATTCAACATTTTTTCTCTTGTACTTTTCTTTGCTGCTCTCATGCTACCCTTTTGTTCTTTTCTCCCTTCCCTTTGCTTCCCACTTTACCCTTATAAGAAACTTCTAGTGCTTGAAAATACCACCATGAAATACCAGTTATAAAAGTATACATATAAAAAAAAAAACCTCTTTACCTTACACAGAAGGAAGAAGTTAAATGAAAAAGTAACCACATGTCAAACAGAATTTGGGTGACTAGATGTTGTTTATGTTACGTGCCATCGAGTCGGACCTGACTCATAGCGACTCCTCCTTTGGTTTCTGAGGCGAGGTGGTATCACTACGGAAATAGATTGCCCAACCTTCCTTCCGAGGAGTGGCTGGTAGATTTGAACCGCCAGCCTTCTGGTTAGCAGTCAAGTGCCTTAGGCAGATAGTCATACTGATTTCAAAACAAGTCCACGGCAAAGAGTTAAACTAATTTATTTACACCATTTGAAGGGGGAAAAGTGACTTTGAATAGATAACAGCTGTACAGAACACAAATGGGAAACAAAACCCATTGCCACTGCAAGTCAGTTCTGACTCATAGTGACCATATAGGACAAAGTAGAATCTCCACAGGGTTTCCAAGGCTGTAAGTCTTTATAGAAGCAGACTGGCTCATCTTTCTCCCACAGAACTGGAGGGTTTGAACCACTGACCTTCTGGTTAGCAGGCAAATGCCTTAACCACTGCACCACCAGAATTCCTATAAATAGGAAATGAAAACCAAACCAAAGCCATTGCCATCGAGTCAATTCCAACTGACAGTAAATCTATAAGATAGAGTAGAATTGCCCCATAGGATTTTCAAGCTGTAAATCTTTATGGAAGCAGACTGCTTCACCTTTCTCCTATGGAGTAGCTGGTGGTTAGAACCGCTGACCTTCTGGTTTAGCAGTAAAATACTTTAACTACTGCATCAGCATAGCTTACAAATGGGAAAGAATATTTATAATTAAATATGTAGGAGAATTCTCTTGGAAGGTATTAAAACAATGCTTTAATAGTACAGGTAAATTTGGAGACTGCAAATGAATTCTTTTTGTAGCCCTTAATACTCATTTAGTTATCCACTTGCTTCTAATTTTTCAGAATAAGAATTCTCCCAGAGTTTAAGTAATGGTACGTTAACAGGAAAACATATAATCATTTTGCAGTTAAAATTTCAGTGTTTGAAAATATTGATGATATTTTCTGAGACTCTAATAATCAAGATTTACTAAGACAACCTTAATCCTACTGTACTCTTAAAATTCTTTCTTTACTGCTAATGAACACTGAAAATTCTCCCTTTACTACAGTCATCTGTGTCTGTGTCACCATATAATGGAAAATGTTAATAAGATTCTAAGAGCTAAGTCCTGCTTCTGGCTGTGTAAATGTTCTGAAATATTGGTGAGGATATGATTTCTCACACTTTGGCCTTTTGATGAAACGCCTTTCCAACACCAGTGTGTCATCTTATGCTACAATTTCACACATTAGCTATCAGGGTATCTACCCTGAGAACCCAGTATCACATTGCACTAATGAGTCAACACCTGTTAAGAGTAGAGAAATCTGAACCTTGTTAGCAATTGTGAAGCCTCCAGGGAGCCTGGATGCTGAGCATTGTCATACTCACCACCAACATGTCTGTACTGAGGACCCTGGCTGCAGCTGTGATGAAGTCCCCCATCAGCATGGAGAAGCCAGGCAAGCCCAGGGAAAAAAAGCGGGGCGGACAGTGCCTTACGATGGTATTTAAAATATCCTAAGAGGGAAGATAAAAAACTGTAACTGTAATTTTCAATGAAACAAAAATCCAGAATAAAAAAAGTCAGTTCATCTGTACATATGACTACTACATAATCTAAGAGGACATAGACATTTTACAGTGAAAGGGATACTGGGAGATGAGTCAGTCCAAGGGATAGAGTTCTCATTTTACAGCTAAAGAAAAGAGACACCAAGATTTAAGATGACTTATGTAAATTATGTCACATTAGGGCTAGAGACTTCCATCTTCCAGCTAAAGGTGGGCTCTCTGGATGAGCTATAGGAGTATCGAGGTAGATAAAATCTTTAAACACTGATCACGCACAAGGAATATATTCTGCCTTTAGCTTTCAATTCTCTTCAATTTTCAAAAGTTAAAGTACACTGTTACATTAAAAAATCTTAAAGCAGGCCAAGAGATGAGAATTAGCACTTCAGGTAATTTTACGTGCTAAAAAATGGGAATGAATGGAGTGCTGTGATAATGTTACCAATACTGCTGGTAGTAGTTGTGGCTCTGAGCACATGTGTGATTGCAAAGTACAATAGGAGTCTTTTGCATAGTATGCAAGGTGAAGACCACCATGTGTTGGGCACCTCATGTTCCTATGTCTGTCTGGCCTCTCGTCTGGAGCCGGCTGGCTGGCCCCTCATTCCTCAGCTCTGTTCTGACTGAGGCAGCCACTCTGTTCCTGCCTGAAGCAGACCAGGGGCCACTGCGGGACAGCTTTCATGCCATCCACATCCAGGCCATATTTGAAGTAATCCATATGTATACAAGGGGGATTAGTAAGAAAACCACAAACTTTTTTATTTGTAATTTTTGGCCATGCACATTAATCAAACATACTAAAGTACTATAGTTAAGTGACTTATAGCTAACACAATCTATAGTTAGTCTCAATATACCTGTAAGAAGCAAAATATGAAAAAGATCTTCCTTCTTAGTTTGCAGTCTATTTGAAAAATCTCTTAAAAATAAACCTGATACAATTCTGTTATATTAGAATAAAATTGTAGTAACATGCTAAATTCTAACATGATTACTTAAGTGCTTTGTAATAAAAATGACATAACTTAAAAATTTAGTGTTCTTGGAAGATAATTTTTTGTGATCATAAAACTTTTTTTCCTAAGTATTTTTTTCCCCTTAGCTACTGAACTCATTTACTTACTATAAATCACACTTTTTATATCCTATACAATGCTTGATCCAGTGGAGCTCACATATTGTAAATATTTTAGCAAATATTAATTTAAATTTCTAGCATTTAGCAGACTTTTTCCTGTACCAAAAAATAAGATACAGAAAATTTCTATTTAAAAGGAAGAGAGAAAGGAAAAAAAAAAAAAAAAAAAAACATATCATGCTTCTTCCAAGTTAATGTTTAAACCTGCTTTAATCTCATCCTTTGATACACTTTAGGGTCCATATCAGCCAAGGCAAACATTCTAAGGGGGTGAGCAGATGGATGATGCAGTTTAGAAAGTCTGTGGTAAACTCATGCTCTAAGAGTAGAACAAAAGATCCACCTTTTTCATAATTAAGCTTCTGATTAATGCCCTGGGCTCCTCACCACACACCTGTAATTACTCACAGAGGTACGTATTGTGCTGAGCCTTGTCTCAGAGTATCAGGCATCAAGCTCTCCAGCAGCAGATGGAAGCACATTTCTGTTGACATATGCTGCAATGAAAGGATTCATGCAAACCTGGCTAGCAAGGTAGCAGAATGCTGTGCATCTGAAGATTAATAATACAAACAACCATGATGTTAACTTTGTTATGTTTGTATTAATTCCATCTGCTGAGAGGAGGAACTAAACCTTGAACTCAGTGGGTTTAAAAATGTTTAGCACATTTAAATCAAGCCCTTTCTCACCACTGGAATTTAGAGTTTTAATTGAAAAATATTTTTCTGGGATAAGTTTGTATGAATTATGGACTAAGTCTTTCAATAAGTTAAAGCTAGAGTTTCGAAACTGAATCAAATTTGCTTTATAAGATTCATAGTAAAAAGGTAACAACCTGTAACATTGGGCATTCAGAAAAAACTACTAAATTGTCACTGATGCTAAAGATAGCTGATATGTGTGTGGCCAGGATAGAGTCACATGGTCCCCCAACCCATTGGACCTCTGCCAGTCATTTCATCTAAACCTGTTTCTATGGGCAAGAAGATCGGAAAGGGAGGGCAAAATAACAGATGGCTAGCCTACACTTCCCTGCCACCCACGTGAAGACAGAGCCCTGAGGAGAAGCAGCCTTGGCCAGCAGTCACAAGGGAAAGACAGCACCAGGCAGAGAGAATGTAGGGGTTAAGAGAGGCAAGTACATAGCCATTCAGCAACACTGTGGCCATATGCTTGCTTATTTTGCTTATTCATGCTGAAATGGAACAATCCAAAGATTATATCTCTGCAATAACATTTTAAAATTAGGAATAACTGGGTGATGCTCAACAGAGAGCAGTTGTATACCCACAGAGGGATGCCCACAAAGTGCTACAGTCAATTCTCCTAATTCATAGCAGATTCCTTCTTCTACCTTCCTCTCAATACATTAAGATCACAACTGTAACTGGAATCTCTGGGAAAAACAGTAAAAATCCAAAGACTCAAACTTTCTTCCCAGTCTACAAAGCTTTATATATATAGACTATACAGGATGGCATTTCCCAAATTTCCATCATTCATGTATACGGCTCATGCCTTCTGACCTATCCACATCCAAAGGAACATTATTTACCTAACATACTTTTTGAAGTAACTCATTTTTAAGAACTTAAATTATCCTGGAGAACCAGTATCCTTGTCATAAATAGAAATCACAACCCACTGCCATCAAGTCAATTCTAACTCACAGCAACCCTTTTTTGGACAAAGTGGAACTGCCCCATAGGGTTTCCAAGGCTGTAAATCTTTACAGAAGTATCTTTCACCTGTGTAGCCTCTGGTGGGTTCAAATCACCGATATTTTGGTTAGCAGCCAAATGCTTTAACCACCATACCACCAGAGATCCTTAAAGAGAGAAAATAATCCTTAAATCAATATATGATGATTTAAAACGATGCTACTGAATTTTTGCTAAATATCATTGTCTGTTGCAAATTCTAAGTCGGTCTGAAGGTAGCGCTCCTTTTTTAAAAGGGGGATTTGCAACATCAGGGTGGTGTGAAAGTTCCTGTACCAATTCCAGCCACCTTGCTTGAGAGAGTCATAAAGATGAGTAGGAATGGGGCCAATATTTTCACCTTGTGATTAAATGCTTTTCAGCACTGTGCCCGTTTGACCATTCATGGGATATGCCCTTGTACTCAAACTCTGATATGGCAGAAAAAACTCAGTAACTGGGGTCACATATTTGACTTCACACAGATCATGTAACGCCTAGAGCTTCACATTTCTCCTCCAAAAAAAAAAGAGATAGCCTCCTTAAACAGTTGTATCTAACGGGATGAACCAAAAAAAAACCTCACTGCCTTCGAGTCGATTCCAACTCATGCTGACCCCCACTGGGTTTCTGAGGCTGTAAATCTTTATAGAAATAGATCACCCCATCTTCCTTCTGTGGAGTGGCTGGTGGGTTTGAACCACTGACCTTCTGGTTAGCAGCCAGATGCCTTATCCACTATACCACCAGAGCTCCTACACATGGGACAGTCGATGTGAAAATGTAGCTTTGTAAACTGAAAGGGACCATGCAAAAATAGTAAACAGAGTAGTGACAAGTACTTTTTTTCCAAAAAGGGAAGGATTTTGAAGTGTTTTACTTTGTAGAATTCAGTGAACTATTATTTCTCTGGTGTATAAAACAAAAGCTACTAGCATCAAGTGGATGCCAACTCATAGTGACCCTTTTTTAGGACAGAATAGAACTGTCTCATAGGGTTTCCAAGGCTATAAATCTTTACAGAAGCAGACTTTTCATCTTTTTCCCACAGAGCATCGGGTGGGTTTGAACTCCTGACCTTTACGTTAGCAGTCAAATGCTTTAACCACTATGCCAGCAGAGCTCCTTTGCTATATAGAAAGAGTATTTGAAAACATTTCAAAGATGGTATGAATAAGCCTCTTAGATTACACAGAAATTAAATACTCTAGAAATTAACACTCTCAGCAAGGCATTACACCAATTACTCATGGAATATATAAGGCAAATGGTTGAAAAGCAAAAAGGAAAATTATCATTTTAGATTTCCCAGATTCCACTCTTCTACAGAGTTCTAGATACCCCAAGCAAGTTTGATATCAAGATTAGTTTCTTTTCCATACTGTAAACAGACTAAACAATCATTCAATAAAAAATGGAGTTTAATAGGAATTCAGCTTATCTTGAAAGTTGACCAGTATGAAGCACAGGCTCATTATTTTGTTGAAAGGAAATAAAATTCATCCTGAAAAATGCCATAGTATAGGAAACAGGCCATCAAATTAGTATTTTTCTTCTTCTTTTTGTTTAAAAGCCCATGTACATTCTACATATAGTGTGTGAAATGCTAGATTCTGAGATGATAATTACAGGTTACCAAAAGATTCAGGTTTGTGAGAAAGTTAACTGGTGAGAACATCTGTCTCTTATCACTGATCTTGCAAAAATCAGGTAATTCAAATAGAGGCATGTTATTTCCTCCCCTCCAAAGCACAGTTCTATAAACACAAACCGCATTTAGCCTGGTAAATGAATTGCTTTAATTGAATGCTATGTACACAGTAACTGGAAAAACCATAAGTGATAAGAAAAACTTATAGTGATGTCAACAGAAATTGCTTTATTCATTTTGCATAGTGTTGTTTCTTTAGTTCTCTTATAATTGACCTTTAGAACGATAAATGTGTAAAATAATTTTGTTTATTGTGGCTCCAAATCTTCCAACAATTACACAAAATGAAAATTTAAAAGGATGGAGTCATTCAGGAAACATTTCCATTGTTTACATAATTGCACAGCTATAATTTAGTGCTCATGTTGTTATGGAAAATAAGAAAAAAAAG